TTTATCTGAACAAGTTTCGCTTTTCGACATTGAGAATTCCTGTCCATTCTTCATAGCTCTAAAACACTCCTACCATGCTTGAACCCTGTACATTTTCGATATATCGTTTCTCTCTACAACTCTTACCGCGTCACTGTTAGCGAGCACTGTACCTGACCACGTCTCTGCGCGAGCTACTTTCCTCTCTACAACTCTGACCTACTATCTGGTACCCGTTCTCTCTACAACCCATACCGCGTCACCGCGCTGTTGTATCTCTCTACAACACTGACCGCATCACTATTCGCAAGCCACTGGTACCCGTTTCTCTCTACAACCCTGACCGCGTCACTGTTCGCGAGTCCTTGGTACCCGTTTCTCTCTACAACTCTGACCGCGTCACTGTTAGCGAGCCACTGGTACCTGTATCTCTCTACAACTCTGACCGCGTCACTGTTAGCGAGCCACTGGTACCTGTATCTCTCTACAACACTGACCGCGTCACTGTTCGCGAGCCACTGGTACCTATATCTCTCTACAACTCTGACCGCGTCGCTGTTAGCGAGCCACTGGTACCTGTATCTCTCTACAACACTGAAAGCGTCACTGTTAGCGAGCCACTGGTACCCGTTTCTCTCTACAACACTGACCGCGTCACTGTTAGCGACACTGGTACCCGTAATCTCTACAACCCTGACCGCGTCACTGTTCGCGAGCCATGTTTTTGCTTCGCGACACTGGTACCGTTTCTCTCTACAAGACCGCATCACTGTTAGCGAGCCACTGGTACCTGTATCTTTCTAGAACACTGACCGCGTCACTGTTAGCGAACCACTGGTACCTGTATCTCTCTACAATATTGACTGTGTCACTGTTAGCGAGCCACTGGTACCTGTATCTTTCTAGAACATTGACCGCGTCACTGTTAGCGAGCCACTGGTACATGTATCTCTCTATAACTATGACCGCGTCACTGTTCGCGAGCCACTGGTACCCGTTTCTCTCTACAACTCTGACCGCGTCACTGTTAGCGAGCCACTGGTACCCGTTTCTCTCTACAACTCTGACTGCGTCGCTGTTATGGTACCAACAACTCTGACCGCGTCACTGTTAGCGAGCCACTGGTACCACAACACTGACCGCGTCACTGTTCGCTAGACACTGGTACCCGATAGTAGTATCAAGTTATTTGTGACATACTAATGAAATATCTCCATAATGTTTTTGCTATTCTGGATCATAAGTAATAAGAAGCTGGCCACGGGGTCAGCTGAATGACTGGTTTCCAACATCATTGATAACATTTTGCATTGTGTCTATTCAGAGGATATTTTCATTGGTTAACAATTTTAAGAACTTTTTAGAATTAATATCAAGATATTTTAAGAAGAGTAATATGTACTCAAGAAAACATGGCCTCGTTTAAATAAACAAAATTCTTCTGAAAATCGATTAACCAGTATAATAGATATCTGTGTTATACTTACATTTAATTCAAATTTAAAATTCTTGTTCACACCATCATCGGCATCGGTTGCTGAAATACTGGCATCGTGTGTTGTTGGATAAGATGTATTCTGCAAATGTAAATAAAAGATTAACAAGAGTGATTAATAACCAAAAACAGAAATCATTCTGACGGAGCGATATCAATTATATAAATTATATATCTCATCATTCTTTCACGTGAGAGTTAAGTACCGCGAGTTTTTTTCTTAATTCATAGTTTATTCCGTGAATACTTGATAGTCATCAGTGTGCTGATGTCACTACAATTTTTTCATTGTAAGATGTGAAGTCACATGTAAACACAGTGGTTTCATTATCATCAATCTGGTTCACATTGTGAAACCCCAGAAACAAATATTTCCTGTGCATATCACTCATTCACACATATGAAGTGCAAACTATTTTATTGTCCTAATTGTGAAAATCTTGCACAGCAAACATTCAACCCTGGCACCATTATCGCATTACAGCTCGAGCAAGCTGTTCTCAACCAAATCATATCCTAAGATAATAATTTACTCTAACAGTCGTTCGTCGTGTAAGGTATCAACTTAAAGTATGTCAACTATCAAACAGAACACGTGTTCCAGATGTCCTAATGAAGTTACATATAAGACTGCCATATAAATACCATTAAGAATAAATACCAGACAAGTGATTTCATACAGAAAGTTGATTAAAGATGTAATGTGCGACTATCTCACTTAAAACATAAAAACTACCAAAATCATTCCGTAAACTATTGTTTGTCTATTTTACTGATCCATGGACAAAGCCGATAAGATCTTATTGAAAGAAATATATGTTTCCAACAATACTGTTTATAGTTTGACTATACAAATGTGACATTTTGATGAGAATGTGTCGATGTTTCCACATGGATATCTGTTTGCCCTTTATGATTTTCATATAGAAAAGAGATATTTTTTTCTGTTTAAGTAACTTTGATAGTCTCCTATACATATTATTTTTGCTGAAAATGTTATGATATGTAGTCAGTCAGAGTATTACCAAGTACTAGTTTGAGGTTGGTTGTGTTTTTAGATTTAATTCTTAAAGTATGATATTTTCAAAAGAACTGACTATATATAAAACAAAAATAAACACGATATCTCAAATATTTGTTCAATTTTTTAATATTTTGGCTTGACTTTAATCCATACTTCTTTTAATGAGTTGTGTTAGTTGGATTACCAATGAAGGAAACCGATTTCTTCTCACATTCTTAGTGTGACATTTGTCTCTGTTGTATCAAAAACGTTCCTGATGATATATTTACACGTAAAGTTAAACTCATATTCAAAAGATGTTTAGCTGCAATTAGTGGTGGGATAATGTATTCTTCTTTGCTCTCTTGTTATAGGAGCTTTCTTTTCCAAGAAATATAGACGGCGGTACAAATATATGGCTGTGAACTATGCTGAAGCGTATTCCGTGAATATACGGAGGACAACATCTTGAATAAATCAATTTTTGTTTACAACCTATTCGTCAAATTTGGTTGTAAGATCTTCAAACAGACTAGCATACCTCTGGTAACTAATTTTGCCCTTCTGATGGCCGACCAGTTTTTTTGTTTTCACACGAGGCCGAATTAATAAGAGCTTATCCAAACAAGTGAAAAAAGACCTTGCAAAATTGTTTACTTTCACTCTGAAATATATTGCTGACATCCCGTTTTTAAATAATAAGAAATGTATTGACTAATCCCACCGTATACACCCACCAGACTTGGAAATCAACAGACATCAGTGGCTTATCTCGATTTTTTCATACAATGAAACTAATACAGATAGATTTCCGCCAAGCTGTATGATAAGCGTGATGATTTCAATTTCCCTATAATGAGTTTCCCATTTCCTTTTTGCAATATTCCTGCATACCCAACACGATATGATGTTTACATGACACAGTTGATTCGGTCTGTTTCCATTATCACGATGTTCGTGCAAGAAGTCGTGAACTTACGGACAACCTCGTAACAGATGGTTTCAAAAGATGCAGGTTGACGGGGACGTTTTACGGTCGTCATAATGATCTCATTGACAAATATTCTGTTTCTTTTTACGTCCATATTTGTTAATATTTTGCCCTAGTTTATTGAATTTGAGTTTTAAGTATAATCATGTTGATATTATGGTATATCCTTGTTGATTTTCGTCCATGCAACTGGGTTTCTCGTGCTTGAAAAAAAATACCGATATACGAGTAAACAACCAAATTTGAAAATACAATGTGTTTACCTTTTGAAAGATGTATGAATAAATTAGCATGTGTAATAAGAATAAAAGAGTTTAATCTGTTAAGTTTGTTATCATTTTGTTAAGCTATTCTTATTGTATATCTATTTTCCTTTTTTAAATATTAGACAGCTGTAAGATTGTCCTCCTAGCGTGAACATGTGAATTCATCACCTAAACTATTCATCAGTGCAAGTTAAACAAGTTCACAGGTAAGGGAGGTAAACTGGGAAACACTTCCACTATCCAGAGTAAAGACATCCATGTTTTAATGAAGTTGTATTTTGTAAAGCAATTTGTTATAGAAATAGAAATGTCATAAATTATGTTACTATGAATAACATGCGGATTTTGATAATGTTATCAAAATCAACATTTGAGGTCATAACGATTGTGCATGAGACTCAAGTGAAACACATTTTGATATAAATTAACAAATATATTTATTAGAGCTTAATAATTAAACACAAAGCTATTTCGGCCTCTTCAGACTCGCCAGTAATGCTAAGGGTCTAAATGTTAAAACCTGAATTAAGGAAAATCAAAAGTGATAAATCCTAGTTTGCGAGACGCGCTTGTCGCGTACATCAATAAATTTCGTAATTTTTGTGCATCTGGTTATTTCAAAGGATACACAGTTCATGTGTATATTCAGAACTGAAGATTCGAATGAATTAAAACATGGCATGCAGGATGTACAAAATAGACCATGGCAATCAAGTTTGTACAAAAGACACACAAGTGAATAGGTCTTTTCAATATAATTTAGAATTATATGCATTAGAAAACTATTAAGAAAATTTGAAGAGCCCAAAGAGAGAATAATGTTTGAGTAGCATATGATATAGGGATAACCTTGAAGTATGGGCAGGCAAAATTAATAGGATTTGTCAGTGAATGGCTGCAGAATGACCCAGATTGATTGACACTTCTCCTTATAATTCAACATTACAGTAAATGATACATTATACATTACCTCAGCTATTTCATATATATATGCTGGTCTCTTGAACACAGGTGCGTTGTCATTCACATCACTCAATATTACGTGTACGAACCCTGTGACCTGAATGACAACAAGATTCGTATCAGCGGTAGAATCTGTATAGGAAATGTTTTGAAAGCCGAGCACGATATATTCTATTATTAATTGTTGTAAAGGCAGCTGACTGAGGATACAACTTTGTAATTATGCACGAAAGCATTGTCCTTTTTATTATTGTTTATTTTATTACTGTTTTCGTTAATTCGGATTTGTGAAATTATTTCCAGTCATGCATACAGTACCGTGTTATGTCCATCATTTGCTGTAAATGCTAGTCTCAGTTGACTTTGTCCCTGGAGTGTTCCAAACAAAAACACCACAAAGCGGATAATTTTATTTCATGACAATAAACAATACAATGCAAAGTAAACGCTCATTGGTTATCGTACACAACGTTCAGAGATTTATATAAACCTATTTGATATTTGAATCACCATCTTCCATACAACTTAGAATGTGTTTATTGCTCCCGTATGAAGGGTCTCGGCGTCCCTGGGCCGAAAGAATTCACTACCGTTCTCGAATATAATTTATAACTTTATATCCGATTTAATATATGTGATATTTGTGCCATGATAAAGGGGCAGATTGCATCGACAATTCACTTGTCCGTACTGTTGTTATTACGTCATTGATATGATATATCTATTCTAGTACTATGCACTCAACGAACATTTGTTTGTTAGTATCCAGACCCAATATTGGACCATACTGCATACTAGATTCTGATATATATAAATGGAAAAACAACAGAAGATTTATATTTGGGTAACAAGTTGTAGCGATATTCAGCTGGACATTCATGTCATGATCGTAGTGGCGAATTGTCTATTATGTTATCTAAACATCTTGATCTTAATCACGGATATTGATGATATATATAAATATGTAAATAAACATATCTGAGATCAGTTATATGCCAACACATTAAATGGTTACTTATTCAAAATAGCAGTTTATGATTTGGAATAATATTTCTTTTCAGAAAACCTTAATATCTCACCCTGTCAAAGTCGATATTTTCAGGATTGATGAGGTAGACATTTCCTGTTACAAACCCTGGTGTGTGGTTGGTCTTGTTCAGAAAAACAGTTGATCTGGTGGACTCATCAAATATACCGAGGTTAATGTTGTCATGGTCTGAGTCGGTGACATTAAAACTTCTAATGAGGGATCCTGTAGTATAGAAGTTACATAATAAACATTATGTGAGTTGTCAGATTTATTTCTGTTTTGTTGGGTGCTCAACATAACAAAACAATGGTATGATTGTCAGTATCAGTATAAAATTTACATTCGTGTGTGGTTTCATATCTTTTGATTTCTGAACCGTTCAATAGACCGTTTATAACAACATTATATAAAACATGTCCTCAATGAATTAGAACAGAAAGTTAATCAATTAAATGCTGTAAAAACATACCTTTTTATTAATTATAATTTGGATTTATTAAGACAATAGTTACCGTTTGCGAGGTCCTCAGGTATAAATGCGTAAATATTTTGTTCAAATCGAGGAGGAATAGACAGCGACTGGACAGTATCTGGATTTGAAAATATTACATAGAGAAAAACTCATTAGAAAGAAAGGATTTTAAAAAGTCACTTATGGTCAATACAATTATATTTATTGCTGTGAAACGACATGGGAATTTGTGTTGTCTACAGATCATAAGACTTTCAAATGATATCAATATTTACATGATAACTTAGCAATGTTATTAGAGGGTTACTTACCAATACTTAACAAAACAAGTAAAGTAACCAGACAATATCCAGGCTTCTTCATCGTTGTTCATGTAATGGAAATGGATTCTGAAAAAAGTTAAAGCTCTTTCTAAATTCGTCTGCACAACAATATCTAAAAACATTATAAAGCACCGAAACTTTTGACCGTTTCCCCAGACAATCAAGGACATCAAACCTTACCACTGCATGTGAATGTCAGAACCGGTACAGCAAACTATTCAACTGCTTATGGAAGTCAGAACAAGGACATCAAACCTTGTCATTGCTATGAATGTCAGACTAGGTATATCAAACATTGCCAGTACTTGCAAATGTTAAAACAAAGTCATCAAACTTTGCCATTGCTTGTGAATGTCAGAAGAAGTAACATGAGTATGTCATTGAAATAAAGTTCCTTCAAAACACCATAACATAGCACGCAACCAGTGTGGTCACTCACTGTCAAGTTTGTAACCCTAAACCTGCAGGGAGTCAGAAATCGTCGTCATCAAAGTGATATCAACATAATGATTCTTCATTCCTGAAAGGCATGTTAAATAATATTGCTTGGTCATTTACCTATTGCCCTTATCTAATTAAAGCTTAAGTAAGTTAACACAAAACTGTTCTTTTTAATATAACACATCTCGTATAACATACCACCAACTAATAATTCCGCAGTAACATGTTTCTGGTTGTTGATACAAATACGGACCTGTCTCGTCTGTGTTTAGTTGTTGATACAAATACGGACCTGTATCATCTGTGTTTGGTTGTTGATATATATACGAACCTGTATCGTCTGTGTTTGGTTGATACAAATACGGACCTGTCTCGTCTGTGTTTGGTTGTTGATACAAATACGGACCTGTCTCGTCTATGTTTGGTTGATGATATAAATACGAACCCGTCTCGTCTGTGTTTGGTTGATACAAATACGGACCTGTCTCGTCTGTGTTTGGTTGTTGATACAAATACGGACCTGTCTCGTCTGTGTTTAGTTGATACAAATACGGACCTGTCTCGTCTGTGTTTGGTTGATACAAATACGGACCTGTCTCGTCTGTGTTTAGTTGATACAAATACGGACCTGTCTCGTCTGTGTTTAGTTGATACAAATACGGACCTGTCTCGTCTGTGTTTGGTTGTTGACAAATACGGACCTGTCTCGTCTGTGTTTAGTTGTTGATACAAATACGGACCTGTCTCGTCTGTGTTTAGTTGATACAAATACGGACCTGTCTCGTCTGTGTTTGGTTGTTGATACAAATACGGACCTGTCTCGTCTGTGTTTGGTTGTTGATACAAATACGGACCTGTCTCGTCTGTGTTTGGTTGTTGACACACATTCGGACCTGTCTCGTCTGTGTTAAGTTGTTGACACACATTCGGACCTGTCTCGTCTGTGTTAAGTTGTTGACACACATTCGGACCTGTCTCGTCTGTGTTTGGTTGTTGACACACATTCGGACCTGTCTCGTCTGTGTTTGGTTGTTGTTGACACACATTCGGACCTGTCTCGTCTGTGTTTGGTTGTTGACACACATTCGGACCTGTCTCGTCTGTGTTTGGTTGTTGACACACATTCGGACCTGTCTCGTCTGTGTTTGGTTGTTGACACACATTAGGACCTGTCTCGTCTGTGTTTGGTTGTTGACACACATTAGGACCTGTCTCGTCTGTGTTTGGTTGTTGACACACATTCGGACCTGTCTCGTCTGTGTTTGGTTGTTGACACACATTAGGACCTGTCTCGTCTGTGTTTGGTTGTTGACACACATTCGGACCTGTCTCGTCTGTGTTTGGTTGTTGACACACATTCGGACCTGTCTCGTCTGTGTTTGGTTGTTGACACACATTCGGACCTGTCTCGTCTGTGTTTGGTTGTTGACACACATTCGGACCTGTCTCGTCTGTGTTAAGTTGTTGACACACATTAAGACCTGTCTCGTCTGTGTTTGGTTGTTGACACACATTCGGACCTGTCTCGTCTGTGTTTGGTTGTTGACACACATTCGGACCTGTCTCGTCTGTGTTTGGTTGTTGACACACATTCGGACCTGTCTCGTCTGTGTTAAATTGTTGACACACATTAAGACCTGTTTTGTCTGTGTTTGGTTGTTGACACACATTCGGACCTGTCTCGCCTGAGTTTGGTTGTTGACACACATTCGGACCTGTCTCGTCTGTGTTAAGTTGTTGACACACATTCGGACCTGTCTCGTCTGTGTTTGGTTGTTGACACACATTCGGACCTGTCTCGTCTGTGTTAAATTGTTGACACACATTAAAATTGTTGACACACATTAAGACCTGTCTCGTCTGTGTTTGGTTGTTGACACACATTCGGACCTGTCTCGTCTGAGTTTGGTTGTTGACACACATTCGGACCTGTCTCGTCGGTGTTAAGTTGTTGACACACATTAGGACCTGTCTCGTCTGTGTTAAGTTGTTGACACACATTAGGACCTGTCTCGTCTGTGTTTAGTTGTTGACACACATTCGGACCTGTCTCGTCTGTGTTAGGTTGTTGACACACATTCGGACCTGTCTCGTCTGTGTTTGGTTGTTGACACACATTCGGACCTGTCTCGTCTGTGTTTGGTTGTTGACACACATTAGGACCTGTCTCGTCTGTGTTTAGTTGTTGACACACATTCGGACCTGTCTCGTCTGTGTTAAGTTGTTGACACACATTCGGACCTGTCTCGTCTGTGTTTGGTTGTTGACACACATTCGGACCTGTCTCGTCTGTGTTTGGTTGTTGACACACATTCGGACCTGTCTCGTCTGTGTTTGGTTGTTGACACACATTAGGACCTGTCTCGTCTGTGTTTGGTTGTTGACACACATTCGGACCTGTCTCGTCTGTGTTTGGTTGTTGACACACATTCGTGTTTAGTGACACACATTCGGACCTGTCTCGTCTGTGTTTGGTTGTTGACACACATTCGGACCTGTCTCGTCTGTGTTTTGTTGTTGCCACACATTCGGACCTGTCTCGTCTGATTTTAGTTTTTGACACAAATGCAGACCTGTCTCTTAAGCCATTCTTATTACCAGAAAAAAACTAGCTACAAGATTTGCTACTTAAAGCGTTACCTTATCACAATGCGGATTTAAAAAAATCATCAGTTCCTTTTCTTTAGAATTAACCTTTTTTCTCTCCCAATTCATTAACATGGTCATTACACATGTCATTACAAATTGAAGTAATTACACAGTAGTCATTACACATTAAAACATGTGTAGCAAAATAATGGGGAAAAAAGACAAATGTTGAATACTTTGTACATCGATAAACAGGTTAAGTAATTATCACATTACACATTAGTCATTACACAGTAGTCATTACACATTAGTCATTACACATTAGTCATTACACAGTAGTCATTACACATTAGTCATTACACAGTAGTCATTACACATTAGTCATTACACATTAGTCATTACACATGAGTCATTACACATTAGTCATTACACATTAGTCATTACACATTAGTCATTACACATGAGTCATTACACAGTAGTCATTACACATGAGTCATTACACATTAGTCATTACACATTAGTCATTACACAGTAGTCATTACACGTTATTAATTACATGTTAATGATTCCACAAAATTTATTAAACAAGCCTTTTTTAACCTACGATTTTTGCGATATACGGACGATTGACAAATTTTCTAAAATCTATTTTTTTTTAATTATCACATTTGTTGTTCAGTGTACATACATTTCTGCATGTAGCACCTTAAGATTAAAAAAAGATTTTTTTTGTCTCCATCTAACCTTATTAAATTCAGTAATTATATAAGTATTTTACAAATAATTTTGAATTGCCTTTGCTTGGAATGTGTGGGTATGTCTTGGATGAAGGGACGGTGTGATAACCACAGGACTCTATACATACACATGGCCATTTGTAAACGACATTTAACTTCGGAAACAAAAATCTAATCAAAACTAATTTTTCACTTTATAAAGAAATGAACTCGTCGCACTCCTGGCAGTGTCACTTTTCGTGTTTGTGCAGGTTGTCACCAAGCGATACACCGGACTTAACGATAACCCATATTAAACTTGGGTACGCTGTACAAAATACGAGTTTCTTTGCCACTTTAAACAAGTTTGCACGCTCATTGCTGGTTAATCATAGACGTGTTCATATTCTATTTCAAAGTGGCAAGTCACAAATTGACAAATGCTGAAAGATGGCAAGCTTTTGGAATGATCCAAGGTGGTATGATATAAAGACTAGTAGCTTCATGTTTTATTGTTAGCCATTCTGGTATTTCTCGGTAAGTGAACCAAACCGAGGATTTTGACGAGCGTCTCAGGTCTGGCACATCTCGAAAGACTACACGTAGAGAAGAAAGTCTTAGAGAACAGTGAAACGTCCATGTTCGCGTTAACCGGCATACCGTCAACAGATGTTTAAACAATATGCGACTTCGATCTCGCCGACCAGTAAAACGTCCTCTGTTAACTGCAAGGCACTTAATACAAGCAAGACTGCAAGAAGTCTTGCTGAAGTGTCCGCTGGTTTGATGAAAATCGATTTACTTAGTCCGGAGGATGACATGGTCCGGGTTTGGAGACAAAGATATACGACATACCATTCGAATCACATTATTGACACATCATTTGATGGTGGCGTGTTACTGTTTGGGAAAGCTTTTCTTTAAAGTGTAGGCTTCGCTGACATTTCCTTGAGAATTTAAATTAACACATGTACAAATGTACCGTGATCAGATCCTTTGAACTTCAATTTTCCACATTATGACATTGATGTCCATTCATTTTCAGATTGGCCTATCTATATGGATCACAATGAAAACCACCTAGAGCCAGCCTAGTACAAGACTGTCGAGAGACGCTCCCATGGCCTGTAACGTCATCACACATGAACCCAATTGTGCATATGCGGGACTATCGCGGTCAAAAAGCCAATGCATAGGATCCAATATGCCCAACAATTACGGGCTGCGTTGATTCTTGAATTGCAGGTGTTTCCTCAGCGCTGTTTGGCGTCTGGTCAATGGCACAAGTATTTCA